GATTTCTTAATGAAGTATTTTAATTGTCTGTTTCATTACTAGTCCAAGTGCAAAGGGATTTTCATGTCATGATTAAAAACTATTCTTCATCCCAAATATTATTTGTGAATTCTCTAAAACCTCCTAAATACATTTATAATGTTGGTTTTCAGTAAAACTTTATATTTTGTCTGTTATCTTCTCTTCCCTAACTATACAGAGTCTGTCAATTTGACCGAGCTCGAAACCACAATAAAAAATTAGGAAATAAATATAGATTATTGTTTTTACATTCTAGAATGACTACAAGCTATAACATGAAAACACAAATGTTTAGTCTAAATAGCTTAAATCTCATTTATATATATTTATCATTTTTATTATATTGAGCTTCCAGTCGTGCCTGGCCAACAAAAGAGAAGTTACAATGATGCAGTGCACATACACTCATGTTACCATCTCCAAGAATATAAAACTGTCCTTTGCAAAGTGCCCTGTCTTGGCTGTGTTTTAGTGGACTAGTATTTTGTAAAATACAGTCACATTTCAATTATTATACATATGTATATACATTATCACTATTTACAAATAAGTTGTTCTTAAACTTATTTTTCTTAAAACATAGAACAGTAAATAAACAAATGAACGACTACTTCTTCTAGTTACTACCTTTGTACTTGTTTGCTACTTGTTGTAGGTTGTTAAGCCTTATAAAAATTATGCACATGGAGGATGCGAAATGAAATAATTTTTTGGGGTTTTATACATATAGTTGAAAGAAACAAAAAATCATAAATTACTATGCTGATACCATAGAATTCCATTATAATTTATCAAGTTTAGTAAATAAGCTGTATTTGGGTCTAAAAAATATGAAATTTTGAGCAGACTAAAGACTCACCTTACGAGCTTGAAGATTTGTATTGAAAGAACGAGGTGATGTTATAATACTTTAAAATGGCTGAGAAAGCCATTAGAATAACATTCTTAGCTTTTGATTAGTTATTCAGATGTCATTAACAGAAGTAATTGTATACAAGGGAGCATTTCCAAAAATGGAAAGAGGTGAGCAGGGCCACTATGTTTGAAACAGTACATGAGCAACATCTTAGTAAACAGAAGGCTCTTATTTTATATTAATATCAGTAATTTGAGTTCCTAATTTGTAAAAAACTAAAGACTTAGTATCTTGACATCACAAACATCTAATTTGAACCAATGCTGTATTCAACATACCACGGGACACAAAAAAAATCAATGTTTAGGTGTTTTTTTAATATTTGCTTTTAAATTAAGAATTTAAATAATGTATAATATAAAAATTTGGATTATAATCTACAATTTGATACCAAACTTATTGATATAAATTCATAAAATAGTAGTTTAATAAAATTTTGAATGCAAGTTAACAAACGCAGTGACATGGCCTTTGACCTATGACAATAGGTTAAAAGGATTAATCATTTGGACAATAAAACCATCAAGCTATTAAATAATATGTAAATTCATTAAATAAACTAGTCTGTTGTGACAGGCCTTTAATAATAAGTCACCTAAAATCTTAGCCCATTGTGTAAAGTAAGTTCATCTGTTGTGACAGGCCTTTAATAATAAGTCACCTAAAATCTTAGCCCATTGTGTAAAGTAATTTCATCTGTTGTGATAAACCAATAACAATAAGTCACTTTACCTGTTAAGACAGGTGAATAACGTAAAGTCACTATATAATATAAAAACTTGCTTCATACTGTAAATGCAGGATAATGTATTCAATATAGTTTGTACCTCTCTCTTTCTCAGACTGCATTTTCCTCATGACTGAGGTTGGTGTGAAAGCTGCCATTGTAGGACTCAGACCCTGTAGTAAGAAATATCAATAAATTCTAATAAAATCCTATCATTTTATCAGGTTATTAAACTTAAAAATGTTATTTATTTCAATTAAGCATGTTGGGCTCAACATATTTTCTTTCATTCATATATTTTTTAACATTAACGTAATTTTCATTCCCAACTTATTCAAATAATATAACCCTTTCCATACCACAGGAGTGATAAAAGCAATCTAGTCATTTATGTTTGCAAAGTGAAATTACATACTCAATTGCATTAAATCTGAGTCAAATTTTATGATCAGTTTCTAGTTTCTGTATGAATAAATTCATAAAATTTCATTCAATATTTGTATCAATTTTTAAGTTTGTGAAAGTTCTTATATCAAAAATTACATCCTTTCATCTTCATTATTTTATTGTTCATCAGAATGTTCCATTTATATATCAGTCAGTTTAAAATGTTTGATATTATTGATATGTTTCATTTGATGCTTTACTTTTTTCTGAACTGAAGCAGTTGACTTCCCAATACAAATCATACAAACACAGTATGGCTGACATAGATTTAATGATGACCTCAGCTTTCGAAATGACATCACCCTTATTTTTCTTGTGGTACATTTTGCCAATATTTTGGTTAAATTTATATCTGATACTTAGACTATTTATAGTAGTCTATTTTATTATTTGGGAGTGTTGTATAAATAAAATAAAATTAATACATTAAGTGAAAAAAAAATTCATATGGTTCATCACTGAAGACATAACAAACATCACTTACTCAAATTTAACATTCTTACTCAATATTTTTTAATAGGAGTGTATTTTTACAACTTTCAAACTGATATAACACATTAGGAATGAAAGGAACATGACAAAAACTATTTAAAAAAATCCTAGTCTGCATTTTTTAGCAACTACTTCAAACTTCCCCTGAGGATGTATCACTAATATCAACCACACCAACTATCACTTTTCAGAAACCAACAAGATTCTACTTTGCACCATTGGTTAGTAACTGTAGGTATTATCGATGTTCAACTTTTTTCACTACTGACTCTGTGAATCACACCAACCATGTGACCCCAATGTGACCATCAGAGTTTCCATACTACAAATTTTAATATGTTCTGTGCATCTTAAACTTTTTCAAGCTTTTAGTAAACATACCTTTTCTGTAGGCAAAAAATTAGAATTATTAAGTATTTGTAAAATTTTTGTCTGTGAATATATGTGAATACCTACTAAATAAATTTTCAAACATTTCTTTTCAGAAACATTTTGTTTTTCTTCTTCTCTGTCCTATTTTATATGGGTAACCATAAAAGTTGAAAAACGTGAAATAAAACACAGGGTTCATACTGCCAATGCCAAAATTAATTCCAGGACTTTTCCAGTACCTCAGATACAAACTTCCAAATGTGTGTTCTATTACACAAGGGACCTGACATACATTTTCAGTAACAATTTATTATTATACACTGACACATTTTAATGTTTATGTAAGGTATAACACAATTAAGAAAATATGTGTAAATGACAAAAAATTTCACATTTGTTATAACATAATGAGTAAAAACATAGCACCAACAATTATTCTTTAGCTTTCAGCTATTAACGATAAATACATCTCATAATTTTGTGCACAATTATTTGTTCTTTAGCTCTTTCAGTTTCAATTCCAGAGTTTTAGATTTTGCTGTCTTCCTCAGACTATTTGACTGTGTTATTAGTCAACTTTCTACTTTTCTGTGTTTGATCTGCTAGTTCATCTGCTTTTTGTTAAAGTTCTTTTTTATCAGTCTGTAGTCTTGCTTGCTTTTTATTCAATTCAGTGTCATCCAGAAGATCTTGCCTTTTCAGTCATTGCTTTTCAACTAACCTCTCCTTTCTTTGATCTTCTAAATAAGCATTATACTTTGCTTTAGCAGATGAAGTTGCTACCATCATCTTTGGGGTACCAGAAATGTTCAGAATTCCCCCAGCTGCTTGAATGTGGTCCTTTATAATTCTTTGAGCCATAAATGATACTTCTAACAGATTTTCTCTTTCCAATGCTTTGGTCATTGAAAATTCCCACTCGATGCTAGCCTGACCATGGGATAAACCAAAGAAAGTCTCACAATATGCCAAACTTTGGCATATTTCATTTTTCCAAGTGCAGAGAACAATTCATAAAAGAAGGTGTCCAAGCTTTTTTTCCTTCAGAATTGAAGTCCATAAAAGCAGCTTTCTGCTTAGGAACCTTATCAGAAAGAATCTGTCTGAATGCAAACAGTGTTGCATCACAATCATCTATTGCAACCTTGTTATGATCACACAAGATCATTAATACTTGCTTCATTTAAGACACACAGATTAGGATCTGTTACCATTTGACTTGAATTCAAACACTGTAGATTCCTCACTAGTGAATACTTGATTTGCCTTCAGCTGTAGTTTCTGTTCTATTGCTTGTACAAATTCTTTGCATGCTATCCTAAATTCCATTGCTTGCAAAGATGACATTTTAGCCATTTTCAGTGCCTGTTCTGCTTCAATTCCCACATCTATTTTATTGTGGGCCACTTGAAGTTCTTTTTTTTTCCACCATCAAGGACAACGAGTTTCCTTTGTGTCTTACTTGCTTTCTCAATTTCTTCTCATTTGATGAATATTGCCATTAGCTCAGTCAGCATTTCTGCCATGTCCTTGGCTAGAAAAGGTAGCATGGGACTGTCTGTCTGATACTACGTGAGGAAGGGATTCATTATCTTTGCAACCCTTTTGAAGAAGACTAGCTTCACAGTAATCAATGGATCATCACATGACTTCTTAACCACATCAAAGAACTTTGTCCCTATGTTTGTCAGTTTCTTCTGATCAACTGCTTGTACATACAACTTAATATCTGGCCAAACCCAGAGAGCTCTCTTTGCCACCACCAGATTTTCTAGCCATCTGTACTGACAAAACTTCATAGAAAATATGCCATTGCCTGTGAGTTTGGTATAATCATTTCTTCTAGTTGGTGTATCTTTAAATAACCAGTAAAGACTGCTGAGGGTGTGTGATACATTCCACTAAGATGCAGCTACTCTATCTTTGAAAGCTCCATGTATGATGTATAAGCCAAACTTCCATTGTCAAACAATTTTATGTGATGAACTTTTTCCCACTATGATTAGAAGTCTGCATCAAATTTCCAGTTTATAGCTGGACCATCCATGGATAACTGGAGATCTTCTTTTAACCATGGAATAGAGCAGCTAAAGGGAAATCTAACCTCTCTTACAACAAAACCTGTTTAAATCTATGTTTCCAGATAGTACCACTGCTCAAAACTTTGCATTTTCAGAAAGGAACAGTTCCTACATGACAGTTTGAATTGGCTCCCTATTTCAGAAGTTTATTGATAGAGCAAATGTCAGTGAAGAATAGTAGAGACTGTGTGTTACAAAGAGAAAACAACTTTATGTGCATATGAGGATGTGGAATAATGGCAAAGTAGTTACACATTATCTGACTTCTGAGTTTCTTGGACATGCCACAGCAAATGATACCCACTGCATGAATTATAGGAATAGCCTGATGCCACGGTTTTCAGTGTCCACAATATTTCAGCTTTCAGGACATCATTCCCTCCAACATGTGAGGAAACTGAGGTTCTTCTAGTTGCTGTTGATGTCTCATCCTCTACAATCCCTATGGTCTCTGGTTCAGGTTCTGTAAAAAACGAAACATTCAAATTATGCATAGCACAATACTATTCATGAATATAAATAAAAAAAAATTTGAATGGAAAGTAAGGATCGTTGCTGCAATAAAGAATAAACAAACAAGCAAAGTGATACTAGTTGGATAGATTTGAAAATGATTTTCAATCCCTACTCTGGTTGGCATTGTGATCTGTATAGCTAAATGAAGCAGTCTAAATTTGCCAAACAAAGTATGGATTGAAAATTGTTTTAAAATCTATCCAGTTAGCATTACTTTACTTGTTTGTTTATTTATTATTGTAGCAATGATCTCTACTTTCTGTTAAAATTTCTTTTCCTATTTATTTGTTCAGTTTTTATATGTCCATGGAATGGAAACAACATCTATAAACTTTTAGTATAGCCATATCAATATATATATATATATATATATATATGCACATAATATATTGTAACCTATACTCTGAATGGGTGGTTATTTGCTTGGGAATTTGATAGTGTGGTTTTTC